AGCATTGACTGGCCCCCACGCTCGCCTGACCTAAATCCAACAGAACACCTCTGAGACATTATGTTTCAGTCCATCCGACGGTGCCAGGTTGCACCTTAGACCGTCCAGGAGCTCAGTGATGCCCTGGTCCAGATCTGGGAGGAGATTGCCCAGGACACCATCCGGCGTCTCATTAGGAGGATGCCCCAACATGGTCAGGAATGCATACGAGCACATGGGGGCCGTACAAACTACTGAGTACGATTTTGAGTTGCTGCAATGAAATTTCGGCAAAATGGACTAGCCTGCCGCATCATTTTTTCACTTTGATTTTCGGGATGTCTTTGAATTCAGCCGTTTGAAGGTTGATAATTTTCATTTCCATCAAACAATGTGGCATCCGTTCATTTCTAACATATTACCTAATCCATATCAATATAGATATCAAGCATGATTTTTTTCCTATTGAGATCTGATGTGTTTTCAAAGTGTTCCTTTAATTCTTTTGAGCAGTGTATTTTAGTACATTCATAGTGATATTCTTTTTGAGAGGCAAACAAACTACAAACAAACAAAATACAGTAACAAGTCTGGTAAAAATCTGATATTGCATGCTAGGATACTGTTTACGGTCATGATATGGCAATCTCTAAATTGAACACGTGCAATTAGATTTATAACTATTAATAAATTTAACAAAATAAACACTTTAAAATATTTATAAAATAGAATTACTGTTGACTGTGTAAGTCGCCATGTTGAAATGACGACACGGAAAACTCGGACAACAAAATTCTGGAGTGAGAGCAGCGTGTCGTAAGGGTTGCACAAACTAGTTGACTTTATGGTGCGTTTATGGCAAGCCATTTTAACATTTAATCAAGTCACACTCCAATCCATAATTACATTTTAGATATTCACAATAGCTTTTCTCCTAGTCAAAATTGTATTCTTACTAGTCAGAATGGCAATTACAGATATCCACAATCACATTCTTCCTAGTAGAAAAAGTATTTCAAGATATCTAAAACTTTATTACTCCTAGTCACAATTCCATTTAAGATATCTTTAAATTTTTACAAAGTATAAGTGGCGGTTTTAACATTTAACCGCTAGACTAGATATGTATTGCAGATATCCGTAATTCAAATCTTCCTAGTCAAAAAGAGCATTTCAGATATCCACAACGTCATTCTTCTTAGGAGAAATTACGTCACTTTTGCCATTCATGTCTATTGAGCTGGACTGGTACAGCACCGGTATACGAAAGTGGAGCAAGACGGAGTGAATGGACCCATTTTATGTTAAAACGGTGTCCTATCTACTAGTCAACAGATATACACAATATATCTGTATATGTCACTAAAAAACCCCCCTCTCCATACATCCTGCCTTACATATCACTCACCCAACAGACGAACACCCTAAAGGAAGTTCATTTAAGTTTGGCTTTTGTATACCCTGTATATTGATTTACTCACGAGTACTAGTCTCAATATACAGATAGGTTATGTTTGTATGTGTCCTTAGACAATCTTAGTGTTTTGTGTGCCACCCTTATAACCATGTTCACGGAGTATCACCTATTTTACCCCTTTGCACTTGAACACATATAAATTTAAATAAATAGATAGGTATAGCTACCATTGTATATATGTTCTCATGGTATACCAGACGAATCTGGAAAATTAGTGTAACCAATGTGTCCTAACTTTTAGAGGGTCTTCTTTGTTTAACAACCCCCCTTCTCTTCCAACATTCATTTGTGGTCCTTATCTGATCTGGGTGGACCGTTACACAGTTTCTTTGTTCTAACATGCTATGTTAAAAGAACTGAATTAAGGTGTACATTATCCATTCTGGAGAAGATCAATTGGGATAAGCCACACCAATCAAGATATGTTGTGTCCAGATGTGCAACTTATATTGATATTACCACAAACTAACGGCCACGCCTATCTAAGGATAGGATATGCCGCGGTTAATGTGAATATGTGATGTAATGTCTGCACAAAGTGTAACATCTGTTGAGCTGCAACCCAAAACACCTGATGTGAA